ATAAATATCGTACATTAAGAACAGCTGATAAATATCGTACATTAAGATCAGCTGATAAAAGCTAAAAGCTGGACTTGCAATGCAACTGATAACATTTTTTCAACCAAGAGCCAGGGTGCTGGAAAACCCTGATGCCCCACTGAGACATGTGGCTGGGTACGTCATGGATCCGTGAAGAGAGTGGAAAATGATGTGCCTGTCTGTGTTGTCTCAGGAGGATGTTGAAGATTTATACATCTTTCGATTTATCATGGCAGGATTTCTGCTTTTTGGCACTGGTGGATACCTATGTTATCAGCTATTAAGGAAGATGTCAGCAGTAGTTTCAGTCATAGCAAAGCTGCCTACCTTATGTGAAGGATTAATTTGTGCTTTGATCTCTCAGACTCGGCTGATTTGTGAGTTCAACCGTAAGATAGAAACGATTTATGAGAATCGTAGGCCACTTGTGGCTTCTGGAACTCACCAGCATGTTGCAGTCAACCTTGGAGGAAGCTAATAAGCATGAACCAACGGAAAGCCCACAAATCTGACCATTTGGATCATCGAGAGTACCATCAGAACTCAAGGCTGACGAAAGAAAAGCAGTCTGGCTGTACAAAAACAACTGTGGCTTATCTGAATCTGGCCTTCTTATTCAGCCTTGAAGAGGCCAACTTATTAAATTACTTCTGGGGATGTGTAAACTAAGAAGGCTCTGCTCTAGCTCTATCCACCCCCCACCCCCGAGAACTTCTGTGAACGCTTATCAGAGCTGTACCGGCTGACACATTATCATCTTATCAGGGCTATGGTGCTATCTGGAATAGAGGATGACATAGGAGTGGATTTTCACTCTTGTCCTATCCTAGTCCCACAGAAAAAAATCCTGTCCTGTCCCACTCCTGGTAACATGACTCCTGCTCCTGTTTTTCATTTAATTTTTAGGAAATACATTGAATTTGATTTGATCTTCTACCCATTCCTGTTTAAATTACTTTGTGTTGTGCAGTTTTCTTTCAAAAGATATGGCAACAGGAACAGTTCATCTGTGTTCATTAAGTCAAGAAAATGTGACATTTGCAAATATAAATTACAGTAGCTCAAATTTTCTTTATTTCACTTATCATATTTTTATAATTATTTAAGCAGCTTCACCAGGCAGAGATTACAAGATTATATGTATCTTACCTGCTCTTTTGAAGTGTGCGACAAGGGTCTTTGTGTCCAAAGCTGTTTAACAGCTTGCTTCCAGAGCTAACAGCTTCTTGTGTTACGTAGAAAAATTAAATTAAATTAAAGACAAACAAAAAGCTTAGTGCTACTTCTTGTGCCATGCTTTATAAAACAGTTATTGAATAAAGGATTTACTTATGTAGGTAAACACAAATGTGTTAAAACCTGTTAAAATACACCAGAATGCAGGAAATAGCAGCTACTTTATTCAAAAAGTTGTGGGGGAGGACCCACAGACCTCGCACCAATATGTCCCCCCCCTACAATAATTCCAATGATAATACACACTGTGTTGTTCAAGCCAAGAGCCATTGTCAACACTGGGGGGCTAAGGCCCCTAAAAAGGGCTTCTAGAATCGCCCCTGGTATGAAGAAATGAACTGAGAAAAATCAACTCTTGGCCTAAAATTTAACACAACAACATAATTGTACACATCATATCTTAAATCTAAAATTAAAACAATTATTATAATATATATGCAACCAGCCTTTCATTTGTATGAAAACTGGAATGTTTTTACTGGAGAATGCTTTCACTCTAACAAGTTTGTTGTTGTACTGGCATGGTTACAGCCGACAGTAACTATTTACACAATAAAGTGATGGTTATTCACATTTTTCCTCCATTTCAGTATCCTGCAGGACGTCGCAATATAAAAATAGGAATATTTTTATCGGAGAATGCGTGCACTTTAACCAGGTAGAGTTTTTTTTTTTTTTTTTTTACATTACAAACAGCGACAGATAATGAAGATTTTAACCTAAAAACCCACATAACAAAGCGGAACGTAATCTTTAAATTAAAAGGGACAAGGTAGAGAAAAATGCACTGTTTGAGTCTGTTCATTTACTGACTGTAAACAAAGTCCGACTCCCCACAGCACCAACACAACTCTCGTGAAGTTCAGGGTTATTTGACACTTTCCTGCCTGTTCTGTGAGTTTAATAGACAAACGGTTACTTCTTACCTTGCGTTGCAAACAATTTTCAGTTACTTGGTACCGCTTCACTGCTCCTCCCACCCTCAGTGAAAAGTGATGGCTCGAACAAATGACTTCTGGGCAATGTAGTTCTTTTGACTTGTGTTAAAGTGAGGGCTTACTGAAAGAAAACTACAAAAAAGCTGCACCTGTTTTTTTTTTTTTGTTTTTTTTTCATTTTCATTTTTGGTTATTGGTTGGTTCCCGCTCCTGTCTGCGCCCGTTAGCTTTCAGTTCAGTCACGTCCCAGCCACGTGAGTTATAATGAGGTTGACTCCGTTCCCGCCAGAATCCGGACGGAATCACATGACCCGCAATACTCCCAAAAAAATGTCATCCTCTAATCTGGAAGTGCTTCACGGACAAATCTCACCGTCTTGTCATCAAATGCATATGTAATGTGTCAAAGGTGCTTTCTAGTAGATTTTTTTTAATGTCTTAATCCGTGTCCTGACAAGGACATGGTGTGAAGAAATCTTTTTTTTTAATACCACTATCCTATCCTCATGGTCTTTCACCTTTTTGATCTAAAAAATAAGGGGCTGCCCTTCTAGGAGCTGCAGCCACGTACACTCGGCCCATATTTTGGACGACTGTACGGAACATAATTTTGCTGTACTTCGGTGCAATGATAATAAAGCTTACTCTGATTCGGATTCTAAAAACGGTAAGTACAGCTGATAAAAACAGTAAGAACTGCTGATAAAAAAACTTTTCGAACAGCTGATAAACCTTTAAAACAGATGATAAAAACTGTTAGAACAGATGATTAAAAACAGTAAGTACAGATGATAAAAGCAGTAAGTACAGATTATATAAGTACAGATGATAAAAGCAGTAAGTACAGATGATAAAAACTTTTAGAATAGCTGATATACCTTTAGAACAGATGATAAAAGCAGTAAGTACAGATGTTAAAAACAGTAAGTACAG